TATAAGTAAAATTTAAACGACCTTCAGACAAATAACCGATACTATAAGTCCACATCCAAACAAGGAAAAAGACCTAGAATGAGTTATTAGTCCTATGCCTTTTAAATCTTATATATATATATATATATATATATATATATATATATATATATATATATATATATATATATATATATGAATTTTTGGGAAAAATATAAGTTTATAAAAGCGTTCAATATTTTGAGTATTTTTGATGCTTTAAAATCATTTTATCGTGATTTAAAATCATTTATTTATAACACAAAGTTCTTGTGTTATACTTGTATTTCCCCACTTAAAACAGTAGAAATTATGAAAATACGGGGGTATGAACTCACTTGATGAGTGGTGATTTGGACATCGTTTTGTTTCCCAGAAAGGAGTTTATTTGACGAAAAATTGGCTCAAACCAGGCAGAGTTCTGACTGGAGAGAGGTTAACTTCTCGGGAATCTCGAGGCTTGCTTAGGGTTTGATACTTGATACCGGGGCTTTAGGGGTTGTATATAAGCTTATGGGAGTGGAAAATATGAAAGAGGGTGAAATTTAGGGTGAAAAATGTAAAATAATTCGGAACCCTCGCATGTCTTATATAGGCCGAAGCCTCGGATCCGAGGCTATGCGAGGCTGCCGCGTGTCTGATAGGTAGCGAGGGACAGAGCTTTGGTTCGGAGGTGGTATCTTTGGATTGGACCGAACTTCGGTCCAATAGGAGAATGGCACGTGCGAAGGCAGTGTCCGAGGGTGATGTCCGGTGTGTCTCATGCGATGTTGTCCGAAGATGAGTGGACCGCGGAGTTGGTCGAATCAGAAGGTGCCACGCAAGGCTTCAGTCCAATCAGCAGCTGACATGTGCGAGGATGACGTGGCCAGGTACTGTTCATGCGAAAATGCCCGGTTTTCAATATTTTCTCGGTTTTTGAGCCAAAAACTTGTAAAATTCATAACTTTTGCATACGAGCTCCATTTTTGACGTTGTTTATATGCACGCGTAGGTAAAATTATACTCTATGACTTTCATTTAGACTTCGTTGGCTAATTTTGTTTTTATTTTTAATATTATTATTTTTAACAAACCGGGATAGGAAAATCCGTTAAAAATTCATAACTTCTTCATCCGATGTCCGTTTTTGTCTGTCTTTTTACCGTTGTACTACTAATGACGAGACCTTCAATTTTCGTTTAGGTCGTGTCGGCTAAAAATCACTCGATCTTTTTTTTCGATTTTTTAGCTGTACATTACTATACTGAAATTTAGAAAAATAATAACTTCTTCATACGAAGTCAGATTTTGGCGTTCTTTTTATGAAAGTCCTTGGTTTAACATAAACTACAACTTTCATTTAGATTGATATGGCTAAAAAAGCCTTTTATTGAAAATTCAGTTTTTACACTGAACAGTGTTTTGCCGGTTTTGTTGCGGATCTTCGATTGGTCATAACTTCTTCGTTATAACTCGGATTTTAGTGTTCTTTATATTTTTGGAAGCCTTGTTACAATATCTACCACTTGGTTCATCCCAATCGAGATTATTTAATAATTTATTTTTGAGGGTCAATTATGTAAATATACAGAGTATACTAAAATTTCTCTTTATTATTTTAAAAAGAAGTACAAATTGACCTACACTATTACATAGATTTGAAATAACGGTTTGTTACAACATAACACCCAAATCATTGATGAATTTCTTCAACCATAGTGCCTTTTTGTAGCATCTTTATTCGCTATATACTCTGATTCTGTTATCGAATCTGATACCGTCTCCTACCTGGAACTTCTCCAAGTCATTGCTCCTCTTTTTTTTAGAATACAAAACCTGAATGAGATTGAGAATCATGTCTATCAGTTTGGAAAATTTCATCCATATAACCATTTATGGTTAGTTATTTTTTACCACCATAGACCAAGAACATATCCTTAGTCCTCCTAAGATACTTCAAAATGTTCTTGACCACAATCCAATGACTTTCACCAGGATTGGATTGATAACGACTCGTCATGCATGAAACATCAGGACTAGTATATATCATGGTGTATATGATCGATCCTATATCAAAAACATATGGGATATGACTCATTCTCTTCAATTCTTCACTAGTACCGAGACATTGGGTCTTAATATCGTGTCATGTTTCATAGGTACAAATAATCTCTTAGATTCTTCCATCATGAATTTCTTCAAGATCTTGTCTAAGTATGTACTTTGGATAAGTCTAATTAATCCCTTAGATCTATCTCTATAGATCTGAATACCAAGTATATACGTGACATCTCCCATGTCCTTCATAGAGAAACATTTCCCAAGCCAAGCTTTTACACTTTGCAGCGTTAGGATGTCATTTTCTATGAGTAATATATCATCAACATACAGGAACAGAAAGACTACAACCCTACCACTTGTTCTAACATACACATATTGTTCCTCTTCATTTCTTAAGAAACTAAACTCTTTGATCTTCTCATCGAAACATATGTTACACTAGCGAGATGCTTGTTAGAGTCTATAAATAAACCTATCATGCTTGTACAGTCTATTCGGATGCTTGGACTATATAAAACCTTCTAGTTAAGACATGTAGACATCCTCAATTAGTTTCCTATTAAGGAAAGTGGTATTTACATTTATTTTGGAAAACGGATATGGCAAGTAGTTTCCTGATAGATTTGATCATTTCTACTTGTGAGAAAGTTTCCTCATAATCAATTCATTGAGTTTGAGTATAAAATTTCGCAACCAGCCATGCTTTGAACATGTGTGCATTCCCATTAATGCCCGTCTTCTTCTTAAAGATACATTTACACCCAACAATTTTAAGGCCATGCATACGATCAACCAAATTTCAAACTTGGTTATCGTACATGGGTTGAATCCTGCTTTTTCGTTGCTTCTTTCCACTTTGCGTCCTTTGGGTCCGCCATGGTTTAATGATAGTTGTGCGACTCATTATCGCCTAACATGTTTTTATCCTCCTATATAATATGGAAACCGTACAACTCGGGTTGATAAATTTCTCTATCAGATCTACAAGGCGGAGGCGGAAGAATGTTAGATCCCTCAACAGGTTCCTCTACCTCTTGTTGAGGGCTAGTGCCAAATTCAGCTTCTTCATTGGTCGATACTTGAATCTTATCAAGATCAATTTGGCTCCCACTTGTTCCTTGAGATAGTAGCTCCCTTTCTCGGAAGACTACCCTACGAGCAACAAAAACTTCATTCTCATTAGGCTTGTAAAACAAGTATCCGAAGGAACCTTTGGGGATAACAAACGAAGTAACACTTTTCAAGAATGGGTTCAAACTTTTCAAGCGCTTTGTGAAAAAAGCCTCACAAACCATACCTTGATTCGTGTAAGAGAGGGACAAGTCCCTTTCCACATCTCAAATGGTGTCTTAGATACCTTCTTATATGGTACACGTTTTAGAATGTATGTTGTTGTTTGTAGGGCATAACCCTATAAACTTATTGGAAGTGTAGCATAAGTCGTCATACATCGAACCATGTCTAACAAAGTCCAATTTCTCTTTTCATACACACCATTGTGTTGTGGTGTTCTTTGTGGAGAACTTTGTGAAACTATTCCACAACTTCTAAGATGATCGTAGAATTCATCACTAATATACTCTCCACCTCTATCAGATCGAATAATATTGATTTTCTTGCCTAATTGGTTTTCTACTTCTCGTTAGAATGTAGTGAATACCTTGAAGGTTTTAGACTTATGTTTAATCATATAGATATATCCATATCTACTAAAGTCATCAGTAAATGTAGCAAAGTATTTTTCACCATTTCATGTGGCAGATCAGAACGGTCCACATACATCTATGTGAATGATGTCCAATAGAACTTTGCCTCTTTTTTACTCGTATGTGAATGGTGCCTTTTTCATATTTTGAAGTAAGAAATATTCGCATACATTATCAAACTCTTAGTTAAATGATTCCAAGATCCTATTTGACATGAGCTTAGCGATGCACTTCTTGTTTATATGGTCAAGTCGACAATGTCATAGACATGATTAATCCAAAACATCTTTGGATGAACCAATTTTTAATAATAATCTATCATTTTTCCTTAAACTTACAATAGTTTCATTGAGTTGATCATTCATTTCATATGCCCAAAGATTCTGAAAGCAATTTTGGAGCTCGAGAACCATGGTCGCTAACACGAGACATGTGAATTTAAAAAGAGTGAAATGATTCTTTTCATGATTCAATTTCTCGAGAATATGAACTTGACAAATAGATCAAAATATGCTTAATGATTATAAGCAACAACCTCAGAAGAAATTGATCAAGAATTGCTACTACAGAGGCGTGTAGGGTTACTAGACTATTTCCCAAGATAGAAAATACAGTGCATGCATGCACCTTAAATACTAGAACCCTAATAATAAATAACAGGTGGACAGGCCTAGCCTGGTTACAAAAAGGACTAAACATATAATCACAATGACGAACACATATACCTAACAATCTCCCCTTTTGTGTCAATTGAGGCGAGAGTCCTTCAAGGCTGAGTTCGCTTCTGCACTTCAAAAACTTTTGGAATGACGCTCAACAGAACCTTGCGGACCACCGGATGCACCATTGATTCATATCTGAAAAACACTTGTTGTCGCTTTTTCTGTTACCCTTGTACTCGTTAACCATATCCAAAACATACTCCAAGCAAGAGGTAGTGAACATATGCTTATCAGCGAGAAAGAAGCAGGGCTTATGAAAGTCTACATCGTTTCGTTCTCTCATCTAAAAGGTCACATACCATCCTTCCTTTTGTATCTTATCAGGCTTCAATTTCTCAAAATCTTCTTGGACTTCTTTAGGGAGAACAACGAGCTTCCTTCACAGTACGATAACAATTTCCACATCCATTTTGCCTACCTCTTGAATATATGGAACTAACATGTGTTTGAGGTGAGAAATAACATGATCATACTTCTTTCCTTCTCTCATCAATAAATTGTAAAGCATTATTCAATCATAAGGATTGAGGCAAGGCAGATCTATGAGAGTGAATTTGTGGACCTGACTGGATGAACCTCTCATAACCTTGAACTTTGCATTTGGGAAGCTGTCGATTTCGATTTGATCGGTGGCCTTCACTACTATAATCTTGCTAGCACTCCACGTTTTGTATTGTGGTTTCACATGCTTGAGATAAAACAAGAAGAGTAAATGATATGCGCCGCTATCTGTGGATGGGACATTCTCTACTTTCACAAAGCTGCGAAACCTGAAGGCTTTCAGGTCTAGCTGCGAATCTTGTGTATTCTGAAGATCGAATGACACAACCAGTTCTAGCCAATATTGAATTGGAATATCCACAGCTTCATTTTGAATTCGCTTTAGAGTCCACACTGGAAATAAGAGCTTTTAGCTTTATGGCGTGACCTAAGATTCGCGTTTAACTTTTTCCTTCGCTTCAGCCTCGAAAATTATTCTTTGATGCTCATCCATCTGAGCTTCACGTCCTTTCTTCTTTTCAACTCATTTTCATCAAGCTCTTCATCTTCGCTATTGTCAATAATTGGTTCTTCACTGAAAATCTTTTCTTTGCCTTTAGGCTCATTTTCGCTCTTGACAGTGGGCTTGGCTGAAGGTTTAGGGTCTTCCTTTTTAGATTGAGTCACACCTTCTCCCCTTTGTTTCGGAATAGAGCTAGATTCTGGAACACCTTCTAGTCTGTGAATAATGGCGTAGACGGGCCTGAGATTCTCAGAAAGACACTTCTTCACAGTTATTATGATCATTGAGTCACGAGCCTTAATAATATCCGAAAGCAAGCCATTTACATCAGCTATACAACTCTTCATAGCTGCTTTCTCAGATAGAAGATCATTGACTCGTTTTTCAGCATTTTCTAACTTGACCGTCAAGACTTTCACCTTTGCAGTCTTTACGACAAGAGCATCCAATATTTTGCTCTCCATGGCTAAGTCATCATGAAGTTTAGTTATCTTCGAGGAGATAGATGAATTGAACTCAGCATGGTCAGTCTTAAGACCAATGCGAACCTCTTGAAGTTTCGCCTTCTCTATTTTAAGGGTTGAGCCCAAGCTAGAAATGACTTCATTAGCCTTCGTGGTATTGGACTCAAAGGAGATCTGGAACTTCTCCATTAATACTCGTGTATCAGTAATTAGTTTATCGACTTTTTTCGGTTGTATTGTTGCAAGCGGGAGCAGAAACATTTACCGCCTTGTTCATCTTTTCAAGGTTGGTGGAGTGCTCTTTCGTAAGGGTCTCAAGAAGGGTTTTGATCATTGCCTGCGAGTAAAATCATCGCTGGATGATGCCTTTGAATCCTTAAGAAAAAAATCCAGTTTTTCATTAATCGCATTGAGTTTCCCTCTTGTGACGGGAGCTTCATCATCACTTTTAGTCCTGATGTTAAATGGATTGTAGCTGAATCCTGCAAAGTCGTCATCATCATCACCATAAATCATTTCTAGGTCATTTTAGTGAAGAGGAGAAATGGGTGGTGTGGAATGACCAACTGTGAAACCTAAATCTCCTTCCCCCGCATTAGATGCGTTGACAATAACAGGAGGCTCAACAGTGGTCGTTGGTGTGGTAGTGAAATCAGTGAAAATAGGAGGTGGGGATTGCAAAATGCCCAAAGAAGCAGGTGGGCACTGGGCAATAGTAATGGGTGTGGAAACAGTGGTAGTGGGAGAGGGAACAAAAACAACTTCAAAGAATTCATTAGTAATAGGAACTGAGACAAGAATCTCAAAGGTTACCTTAGGATTCATAGAAATGGGCTGCGAAAGCTTAGGATGTGAAGTTGTTGCAGTGTCTTCGTGTTGTACAGGCTCATCATCTTGAATGCAAATGTTAGATTGAGTTTCAGACTGCGAAACTTTGCTTTCACTGGGAGTTGGAGTTCTCAGCCCGCGAGCCGACTTCTTTACCTTTCACTTCTTTGTAGGAGTTGGAGCTGGTGCAGATGAACCAGCGTGTGCTTTCCGTTTCTTGAGAGTTTAAGCGGGTTCATACGGATCCTCTAGAGCACCTTGTTTCTTTTCTCATTTCTTACGTCCTTTATGTCCTCCTTTCTTTGGTTTTTTAGCTTCATCGATGATTGATTATATATTAGGAGTTAAAGGACGAAAGCCTGAAATTGGAAGTTTTCTGTAGGCTTCAAGAATCTTGCTTGCTGCAGGGACATCGCGAAACATGGCTTCAGGAATGGAGCGAACAAATTAGAACTTTAAGTTGTCAGCAAGAATGATGTTTGTAGTGTGGAAGATTGAAACGAAAGACATGAAGGAATCTTGCATCATCGGAATCTGGAGCTTTTTAATTACTCTTTAAACAATGATTGTCCAGCAGTAAGCACATGAAATTTCACTGTGTCGGTTTGTAGAATGGGTACTTTGGACCAATTGAGCCCAAAGAATATTCCCAAAATCAATGTTGACCCCCGTGTAGATCCCATACATGATGGTCATGAATAACTTACTGGGACAATCCGAGCCAGTCACACACTAAAAAAAACTTTTGAACAATAGGGTAAAAAGCCCATTCCATTGAGGTGGCAGATTAGGTTTCTTGAATTTAGAGATGGTAGTTAGGGTTTCTTTGTACTACATTTGGTAAAAAATCTCCATGATGTCTGCGATGGAGATGGAATCAGGGTTAACCTTACCATCATTCTGAGCAAGCCCTAGTAAGGAGCAAAATCGAGACTTGGTGATTGAGGTTTTCCTGTTGTGAACTTCAAAGGTAATTATTTGTCCCTCCTTGAAATAACAACCAGACGAATAGGATTTTGATAAGAGAGACATCGGAACAATCTCTGATGTGGTTAAAGCTTTGACTAGAGGAGAATATTTCAAGCACTCAACGATGGGTAGCTAGAAGCTGTCATACTTGAGAGGATCAAGATCGAGAATCCAGTTTTTATTGGGCTTGATTGTAAGAAGCGACGAATGTGCCGATTAATCTTGAACATAAGAGGTTTCTGAAGAGACGACCATGGAAACTTGTTAGAGAAGATGATGAACAGTAGAGAGAAAAAGTGCCTGAGGGTTTTTTGAAATCTTTTGACAATGGTGAGGAATAATGACTCGTCGAAAAACCCTTTATATCATTATCCAGGAGAGAGAAAATAGGGCGACGGTTGCATTTTATCCTCTGAAACATCGCCTAAAAAGACGTGATGTGACAACTGTTATGCTAGAAAAAGGTGCCAGTCTACGGAAAATCAAGCGTCGTTTCAAATTTCATGTGCATATTTGAAATCTTATCCATTAGGATTGGTTCCTGCTGATGATCCTAAGGTTGAATTTTGCCTTTACCAACATCCAAAGGTTGTGACAGATGATTTAGATGTTTTTCCAACTGTGGTGCGGATTCCTGATACTATGCTTCGCAAAGTCGATCATGCAGATCCTGTTCTTCTTGCTTATCTACAAACTATTAATCCCTTAATTGAATATGGGGTGTTATTGGCAAAGGGGGTTAATGTGAAAAAGGGAAAACCTTCGAAGAAAGGTTCTCAGGCTAGTCCTTCAAAGCCCGATCTTTCCCCTAAAAAGAGTGTTAAGTGTTCTTCTGTTCCCATTGAGAAGGAAACAAAGAAACTTTTTCCAGAGAAGGTTGTTCAAGACTCTACGAAGGAAGTTATGCCTTCGAAGTCTGGGATTCTCAAGCGTATAAATAAAATGGCTCATAGGTCACGACATTCTCTTGAGCAGTCTATTGTCGAAGAGGCAACTGTTGAAAAATCCTTGTCCTCACCAAAAGGGTTTATGTTTTAAAACAAATTCACAAACCTCAAGTTTCCTATAAAGGAGTCAAGATTCCTGAGATTCCTGCTCCAGTTTCTCCAACATCCAAAAAGCAAAGGGCAAGCGATATGGTAAAGCGTATTCAAAAGAAGCAAAAGCATGTTGAAGATCCGTTGGATGAAGTAGTTGTTGAGACTGACTTCGATGATAATGGCAACTCTCAATCTACAATTCATCAAGATGATACGGGCTTTCCATCACCATCGATGGATTCTCCACTCAATTCGATTTTCGAGGAGACAGGAGGTCCTAGTGGCAATGTGGAAGCAACTCATGTGGACACAACCATAAATCAAGGTGATCCTTCGCAAGTATCCGCCCTGAGCAGACTACAATCATACCACCCAGAGTTTCGACTACCGAATCAGTTTCTGAGGAGGTTCGAGCTTCAGGCATCCCTGCAAACATATCTGATATGGATGCAAATGTCAACAAGGGTGATGGGTGTTGAATAACGAAGCCCAAGGTACTTCTACCATTCTAATTTCATCCACTTTCGATACATCTACCATTGATACCACTACTTCTCTACCACCATTTCATACTCCCATTTCTTCAACTTTACCTCAATCCACAACATCCCCAACTTGTCAAAACATCGTGGAACAACCCATTACTTCGTTATTTCCTTACCAATCCACTGAAGGCCATAAATCTGTCCATGATGATACCACTAAAGGCTATGATGAAATTGTTTCGTTTGTAGACATTCAGATTGATCCAGAAGAAGAGAATATACCAGATCATATGCTTATGTCGGGTAAGCAATTCAAAGTTCTTGATAGGAAGCTCAATTCATTATTACAACTTCAAGCTGATGCTGGTAGTTGAAATCATGTCTCTGGGATCGAAGTAGATGTGATGCTTAAGGCACAAGAGCTTCGTTTGAGAACTACAATGGATCAAACTGAAAAAAAATACAATGAGTTGTGTGTGAAGGCTCAATCTGCTTCTTTCAATCATGAAATTAAGGAGTTGAAAGCAGTTGCAAAAGAAAGGCACATTTTTTTTGTTCAAGATGTCAAAAAGGTTCGTGAGGACGTGAACCTGAAGATTGAGGAACTTCATTCGGACGTGGCAAAGGAAGTTGCAACTCTTGATCAAAATTATTCATCTCTTCACACCAAGGTGGATATCATTGCTGATGTTGTCACCAATGTGGTTAAGTGGTATAATACCTTACTTGCAAAGTTTGATTCGAAGGCTGATTCAGATGCTCAGGAAGTCGCACAGTTGAAAGAAATCTTGAATACTCTCAAGGAGTCTGTTTCGAATCTTGGATCATCTTCATCATCATTTCTTACTCCAGATTACTTAACTTAGAAGTTTCGCTTGTTAGAATCTACTCTTAAAGCTGAATTAGCTCCACTCATAAAGTTAATTAATATGATGCCAATTGATGCCCCGCCTGTAAGCACAAGGGTGCAAGCGGGAGAAGGAGTTATGAGTGTTGGCATGGGGTCGAAAGCTGGTATGGGGGGAAGTGGTTCATCAAAAGATGGAAGTGATGCGAAGGTTGTTGGCAGAGTAATGTTTACTCAAATTCCTACTTCGTTACCCAAAACTTCATTCTCAATTGTTTCCACTACGGTTACAACAAGGCCTTTAGTGAAAGGAGTTGTCATTGGGGAATCAAGTTCATCGAAGCCACCTCAATCAACTAAAAAAGAAAAAGGCAAGGGAAAAGGTATTAGTGTTGAACCAACTATCGAAGAGAAGAAGGCTGCCTTAGAAAAAGAAATGGAAAGGCAAAGAAAAATTCAAAGCATTCTTCGTCAAAGGCAAAGTGACCTTCCTGGTATGGAAAAGGGTGATCCTACGAAACATTACAACTATGAAACTATAGAAGCTATGGTGTTACATGCGGAAATGCGTTATTTCTAGAAGATTCCTAAGAAGATTTAGTCTACTGAAAACTATAACTTCAATCAGTAAGACTTCCCTATTGATGTAATGATGTTGAAGCTTCGATTCCATGTTGTTCTTGCAAAGAAAGAAGAGGAAGTTTGGTGTAACATCCCATTTTCTGAAAAGAACCAAGAAAAAAATTTCAAAGAAAATTTTCCTTTTTAAGTAGTCAAACACATGCCCATAAATCATGAAACTCCAAAACAATTGTTTTCAAGACATATGTCATTTACAAGTTTTATTTCAAACATCAGAGTGTCCCATAAAACTCCTGTGAGAGAGTGTACGCCACGCCATCAAGCTTTGCCCTTGCCCTTGGGCTCCGATGTACCCGAAACAAATCCACAAACGGTAAGCTGAAAGCTTAGTGAGTTCCCCAGAGCATACCCCAGACAACATCCACATGTTATATTATTTATATAAGCTACCTCTACCACATGACACATATCGATGAGTTATAATAGCTATCTCTACCATTAACACATATCGATTAGCTATAATATCTATCTCTACCATTAGCCATAAAGGCTATCTCTACCATCAACCATAAAGGTTATCTCTACCATTAGCCGTAAAGGCTATCTCTACCATTTGCCTTAAAGGCTATCTCTACCTCATATCGTTACAATTAAACATATCACACTCCTCAACACAACAAGTATACCAACTATCATAAAATGGGCCGACCTTAGTGCCTTAGACCCATTGGTATGGTGTGAAGACTCACCTCTCAAAGGCTGAACTAAAGTTAGATATATCCTATGGTGCTCCTCCCTGCCTATAATCAATATAGCTCAGCATAATCCCATAAATACCCCTAAGGTCAACCCTGGTCAAAGTCAAGGTCTATAGTCAAGGTCAACAGTCCATATTGACCTTGACTCGTTGAGTGCAATCAGCCACTCATCGGGTTCCCTGCTTAACTCATCAACTTGCCGAGTCACCCGAGAGACTCGTCGAGTTCCTTGACGTTCATGGTCGTAAACCACCAACCAAACACCCTTGACCGTAAACCGTTGGCCGTGAACCCTTGACCGTAAACCCTTGACTGTGAATAAGAAAACCATCTCGACTCGCGGAGTCACTTGCACGACTCGCCGAGTCCCCTTAGTCCCTTATGTTTACGGCCCTTTCCAGTGGGACTCAAGGTCCTAAACTTCAGATCTATACTCTACTAGTGTGGATAACACGTAAAGTTGTAAAATTTACGTGCATGCAAGGCCTCACATGGCCATAACACCAAAACTAACCTTCAAACAAGGTTTTCATGCATGGATAGTGAATGAGCTTAATAAAAGGTGAAACTTTATGATACTCGGGACCTAAGAAGGTCCAGATCTGGAACCATATCCTTGTGATAGGTCCACATCTAAGCTTGCTTCCATTTCCTCAAAGTTGGTCATAAACTCTCTAATAGAATCTGGGCTTAAGGTAACAGATTTGTACCTCAATTCGATGCCTAAGATGACACAAATGCTAGATCTAGTGTTTTCCCCTTGATACCTCTTCTTCAAGCTTGGAATCCCTTCCACAATCCAAAAATTTAAGCTCCCAATGCTCTTACTTCACATACCCAAGTGTTTTCGGTCGTAAACGCTCTCTTATGATGTTAAGGAAGGCTACAAAGGCGAATAATGATGTTTATATATGGGGCAAACCGCAAAACTAGGTTTTTCTCTAAACAACTCTGACTCGCCGATTCAGGCCTTCTGACTCGTCGAGTCAGTTCCGACCCGCATCCAAATTGTCTCTACTCTACTCGACGAGTTGATCTCCCAACTCGCTGAGTCCATGCATAAAACCTCCCTAATTTGGCAACTTTCCAACCAACACTTGAACCAGGTGTTACAAGTCTCCCCCACTTGAACTAGACTTCTTCCTTGAAGTTTGCTGACCCAAACAAATCGGGGTAATGCTCTCGCATCTCCTCTTCCGGTTCCCAAGTGCATTCGGAACCCTTCCGATGCTACCATTGCACTTTCACCAGTCTTACTTCCTTATTCCGAACAAACTTCGTCTTCCTATCCAGAATGGCAACATGATTCTCAATGTAGTTCAAGCTCTCGTCCACCAGGATATCACCCAGTGAGACAATTGCGGCTTCGTCAGCGATACATTTCCGAAGCTGAGAAATGTGGAAGGTGTTGTGAATCTGGTTAAGCTCTTCTGGAAAATCCAAGCGACAAGCTACCTTTCCCACCCGAGCCGAAATCCTTAATGGCCCAATATACCGAGGTCCTAGCTTGCCCCTCTTCCAAAACCGGATGATCCCTTTCCAGGGTGACACCTTCAATAACACGAAGTCCCCCACCTGGAACTCCAAATCTGATCGTCTTTGGTCAGCGTAACTTTTCTAATGGCTCTACGTGACTCGCAGCCGATCGTGCACCTACTGAATCAGCCTGGTAGCTTTGAGCACTACCTCAATGCTTCCCATGACCCGATGTCCAACCTCGTCCCAACAAACCGGGGTCCTGCACCTCCGACCATATAACATCTCGAACGAAGCTCAATCGATACTGGCATGATAACTATTATTGTACGAAAACTCTGCCAGTGGAAGATACGTATCCCAACTCCCTCCACAATCCAACACGCATGCCTGTAGCATATCCTCCAGTGTCTGAATCATTCTCTCATTTTGACTGTCGGTGTGGGGGTGGTACGTCGTGCTAAAATGTAGCTGAGTGCCCAGCTCCTCGCGGAATTTCTTTTAGAACCTGAATGTGAACCGAACATCACGATTAGAGACTACCAACATAGGCACCCCGTGTCTAGCCACCACCTCATACACGTAAATATCTGCCAACTTCTCTACGGATATACTTTCAGATATCATAATGAAATGGGAACTCTTTGTCAGTTTATCCACAATCACCCATATGACATCCACACCCCGCGCCTTCCTTGGCAACTTCGTAATGAAGTCCATCGTGATATCCTCCCACTTCTACATGGGAATGGGTAGTGGCTAGAACTTTTCATGAAGTCACTGATGCTCAGCCTTGACCTTCCTGTAGGTCAAGCACCGCTCTATAAACCAAGCAATTCCCCATTTCATCCAGGGCTACCAATAACTCAGCCCCAAGTCCTTATACATTTTTGTAGCTCCTGGATGTATAGAGAACCTGGACTTATGTGCTTCCTAGAGTACCTTCTGTCTCACTCCCCCAGTAGTCAGTACCCACACTCGACCACACCACGTCAATAGTCCTCGACTATCCTTAGCAAACAAAGGATACTGACCTCGGATCCTCTTTACCTTCCAATTCTCTTTCTTCACTCCCTTAACATGATCCTCTTTGATCATCTCCAACAATGAAGAGATCACTGTCATCCTCAAACACACATTCCCAATCGGGGAACCTGCCGTCTTACGGATCAAAGCGTCGGCCACTATGTTGGCCTTCCCTGGGTGGTATAGAATCTCACAATCATAGTCTTTTAGCACGTCCAACCACCTTCTTTGTCGCATGTTGAGGTTTTGCTGGTCCATTAATTACCTTAGACTCTTGTGGTCGGTGTAAATTGTACACCACACTCCATACAAGTAATGCCTCCAAATCTTGAGGGCAAACACCACTGCCCCCGTTCCAGATCGTGAGTAGGGTAATTTGCCTCATGCGGCTTCAACTGTCACGATGCATATGATATCACGTACCCTCTCTGAAATCGATGCATTGCAGTACACCACCAAATCATCTAATCCCTTCGGTAGTACAAGGATCGGAGCCTCATACAGTTTCTGCCTCAAGGTCTCGAAGGCCAACTGCTGATCCGTACCCCACCGAAATGTCACATTCTTCTTGGTCAGATGGGTCAATGGCACAAAAATCTTGGAGAAATCCTGGATAAATCTTTGGTAATAATCTGCTAAACCCAAGAAGCTACGAATCTCTGATACATTCTTTAGTACTTCCCACCGCATCATAGCCTCAACCTTGGCTGGATTAACCGAAATACCCTCCTGGTTGATGATATGACCTAATAATTGTAACTCTCGCAGCTAGAAATCACACTTGGAGAACTTGGCATACAACATCTCCACCCTTAGGGTCTCCAGCACCTCCCTTAAGTGTTGTTCGTGCTGCTCCTTGGTCTTAGAATAGACCAGGATATCATCAATGAAAATGATCACCGACCAATCTAGCATCGGTCTACACACCCTGTTCATAAGAACCATGAACGATGTTGGGGCATTGATGAGGCCAAACGGCATTACAACAAACTCATAATGCCGATACCGAGTCCTGAAAGCCATCTTCGGTATATCCTCATCCCGAATCCTCATCTGATGGTATCCCGACCGAAGATCAATCTTGGAAAACCAAGACACACCCTGCAACTGATTTAATAGATTATTGATCCTTGGCAACGGATAACGGTTATTCACTATTAGCTTGTTTAGTTCCCTATAATCGATACACATCCTGTGGGATCCATCCTTCTTTTTCATGAAAAGGATCGGTGCTCCCCACGTGGAACTGCTCGAACGAATGAATCCTCGGTCTAACAGCTCTTAAAGCTGCATAGATGACTCCTGCATCTTCGGTGGTGCCAACCGATATGGTGCCTTTTCTATTGGAGTGGCACGCAACATCAAATCGATGCGAAACTCCACCTGCCTCCCTAGAGGCACTCCTGGTAAATCTTTGGGGAAAACATCCCAAAAATCCTGAACAACCGGAACACTGCCCACTTCCTTCGCAGTTTCTACCCTCGTATCCGAGATATAAGCTAGAAATCCAGAATAACCCTGCTGCAGGAACCTCCTAGCCCTCACATCCGAACATAGGGTTGGCCGCTGCGATGCACTATCACCATGTCTCACCAGTTCTCCCCACTTGGGGTTCGAGCCCTAACTAACTGATGCTCACAGTTGATCATGGCTCCGTTGGTCCCCAACCAATCCATTCCGATAATCACTTTCAACCCTTGCAACGGTATCGGGACTAGGTCGACACGAAGTCTCTCAC